GGCTTCAGCCGCGTCGGGTTCTGGGCTGGCAACCTGCCTAAAAGCTGGATATAGACATTAAAAAACACTTAAAAGACTGTGTCACTGCTCTCCCCCCCCCAACCCCAAGTCTGAAAAGTTAGTTTGTTGGGGTTTTTAAAAAAAATCCTAATTCTTCGCTTTGTTCGTTCGTATTATTGCTTATTGAACGTAGCAGCTGCTCGGGCGTCAAAGAAGTAATTTATATTAATATTTCACTGCCTTAAGGTTCGTGTCTCACTACCTTTTATAGTAAACCCCATTGCCTTTGCACTGTGTCCTTCTGTATTTGTGCATCCTTATTTACACAATAAAAGGATACGTGTAGAGACTGTGTAAATGTTGAAGCTAGGCTTATGGTACGTCCTGTTTTCTCAGCGAATAGACTGCAAACTGTTGACAGCGAAGTTCCTGTAACTGAACTGCTTCTTGGTAACCTAGTTGTCTGACCTGGGCAGGGGGAGGAATTCGCAGTCCTTGGCAGCCAGGAGGCACGCAGTAGTACGCCTGAAAGTTTTAGCTGGATGCTTCGTTTCCTGGAGTAGGGAGATGAAGCTCAAAGTGTGATGCTGTCCCAACCTAGAGAGATGTACTGTAAGCCAGGGTCTTACTGTGGCTCCTTTTTAACAGGAGCATGTCATTACGGGGTTGTGGTGAATCTGGGCTGCAGATTGAAGGAGCAGGGTAATCTTAACCTTAGCCCTCTCTGGGTATTACTACCATGACCTAAGCTAGTTAATTTGGGTATTCTCCACGGCTTGTCCCTTTTGTGTCTGCAGGGTAGGCATAAGGCTTCTTTTGGTATGCAGTGGATTATATCTTCTGGACGAATGGCAAAGGTGTTGAAACAGATCTTTTGTTGTGGGAGGAGAGTAGGTTTTTCCCGTGATGCCAAGGAAGCTTTTCCCGTGGGCAGATTAGCAAGTCAATTGCATTCTCTGTACGTGACTCAGGGTGAAACTCGGCTAGGAAAAGAACTCAATTGTTATGGAAAACTGCAAACACAGAAGGAGTAAGAAAAGGGTGCAGAAAATGCACATACCTGACCAAAGACTGGTTGCTCGATGAGGGAGTGTTAACTGCAAAGATTAACAGGACCCTGAACTGGCTCTCTATATGGGTGCAGACTGGACTAACAAAAGCTGCCCACTATCTGCAGTCAGAACTTTTGAGGCTGAAGGTACTTAGAGACGACATAAAATCAAGACTTGGTCTCTGAAATCACCCAGTTAGCTTTATTATGTTTTCAAAAATAGAATAAGACAAAACTTTGTCTCTATGCTGCCACTCTTGCTATACTAAGTCCTGTCTGTGGACAGGATTCATGGGTCTGTCAATCCACTTTATTATAGCTCTTACTCTAACGTGTCACACTAACACTTTAGGGCTTTTTGGTCATCATTCTTTTACTAATTTTTTTTCAATCCAGCCTGTGCACATCAATTGCAAAGCATTCCTTTATATCTGATCACAAAACATTAGTAAGAACAAAGTGTAGTATTTGTTCTTCCAGTTTTCTACAATGCTTTAAATCTTTGGAATGGAATACAAATAATATGACTGCGATTTGGTGATATCGAGTACTTACTGATGGACACTGTACACTGCACTTTATTACAGTACTCTGATAACTGCTGTCAGCTTTAAAAAAGAGTCTGCTTCAGGGATCTCTCTCAGCTAGGTTATATGCCTGAGAAAAGAGGCATAGCTTAGCTAATTGTGATTCATGTTATCTAATATTTATGTAAGCTATTTTCTTCAAGCTGTATTTATGGCTTATATTCACATCTCAAGTTTGGGACCTGGGATTTCTGTATCAGACAAGTAAACTTTGCTGTCGTAATTAGTGATGTGGTCTTGTGGCTTGAAGATCTGTGAGCAGGATTTATATTATTCTGCCTTGTAATTATACCACATATAGGCCAAAATGACTGTTTAGCATTTGAATTAATTTTCTTTAGGACTATTATTTTGTTGGTATGATTTAGACTTCATTCTTCACTCAGTCTACTGCAAAGCTATCTCCATGTTATCGTACCGGCAAAATATTTTTTATACATCAGTTTCCCAGTGAAGCCTGCCTGTGCCCGGAGCTTGTCAAATACTTGTTCAGTTGAGCTTATAGATATACTATATTTCTATACATCTCTTCAGGAGATCACACAGAATAGGCTGGATGCTAATGCTATATGTCAGACTTTTGCAGTAATAGCTGAGAAGGAGCAGGTACCCAAAGTTATGCTACTTTTGAGACTCCGTACTGGAAAACACACATACTTATGTCTTTCTTGTGTGATAATTCTTTTCTTATGCTTTAAAATGTAACGTGTAAGCATTTTTCATTCTGGAAGTGTATCAGAACTCTCCTGAATAACAAAGGGGCCATCCTTCAACACTGTTTATGGCATGTTGTACACGAACCTCCTTCCTCAAGAAGACTTTTCTTTTTACTGCAGTTTGGGGTGTCTGTGGCTAAAATGATCCATAAATTTTCATGGGAACTGAGATAAGGTTAAAAATAATTCTCCCACAGCCAGCCAAGTTCCATCTCCATAGAGTTTGGCTTGGTGAATGTGTGACTTTTTGGAACCGTGAAAGTTCACAGACAGTATCTGCTTGTGTAGTTCACCACTGTAGCATGAGAGGACTGGGTTGGGTCTGAAGGGGTTCTGAACTGAGCTGTCTGAACACTGTCCTAGAAGACAGAGCAGTCAGGAATGTCTGGCTTGCTCATTTGGTTTGTAAGTTTCTGTGACGGTCAAAGTAGCAGAGCACAACTTGAGGTGATAGCTATCTTGTGTATGAGGCAACTGTAGCTGTGAGCTCTGCCAGCTCTGAGTAGAAATAGAAGATACTGTCTGACCATCTCACCAGTGAACTGCAAGATCCCAGATGACTGGCTTTGTTGCATCTTCACGTGTAAACTTAGTCTTTTCAAGTTTCAATTCAGATACGGTGTAACACACTTATCTTCCCCCCTCCGCCCTAAAAGCATCACTTATGCATAGCTTTTGGCATTACATTCTGAGTTTCAGTTGTAGTTGGTCTAAGGGCGATATGCTCTTTGTTACTGCATACCTGATTTTCAGACCATCGAAACTGCAGAAATTTCTACTGCAGTTATTCTAACTTGCTGCAAAGTTTTATGAGTCCCAGCGCTTGGGTAATCTGGTGCTGCTCTGTGAAACGATAATGGTGCCCTGGGGTATTTGAAGCAATTTCTGTTGTAGCCGTTCAGATGGTAGGAGCACCTGACAGCTATTTTAGCAAGATATTTTTGATATTACTGGTCATGTGGAAAAACATTGCTGATATGATCTGTGAATAAGGATATAGGTCTTGTCTTTTGGATAATAAAGGGAAGAAAAATTGTCAAGTGTTTGAAAAGCAGTCTTTGCTTTTCTGTTGATGAAGCTCACTTTAATTATCAAGAATAAATCACAATTTCTAGCTTATTTTTAAAACAGACAAAAAGTACTGACCGTTTCTTAATTAATTTTTTTTTTTTTTTATTTTAGAGACTAGTGGAACCAGCAGTTCAAAAGGAAGAAGTTTTGCTGGGCGGAAAGTTCCAAATACAAGTAATGCCTCTGAAGAATTATATACGGTGGATGAATTTGCAGCAAAAGCCCTCACAGGGAAGCTGACTACAGTTTTTCTTCCCATTGTCTATATCATTGTCTTTATCATTGGTTTGCCAAGCAATGCCATGGCCCTCTGGGTGTTTTTTTTCCGAACAAAGAAGAAGCATCCAGCTGTAATTTATATGGTTAACTTGGCATTGGCAGACCTTCTTTTTGTTGTCTGGTTCCCGCTGAAGATTGCATATCATATAAACGGCAATAATTGGCTTTTTGGTGAAGGTCTCTGCAAAGTACTTGTTGGATTTTTCTATGGGAATATGTACTGTTCTATTCTCTTTATGACATGTCTCAGTGTGCAGCGGTATTGGGTTGTAGTGAACCCCATAGTGCATTCAAGAAAGAAATCTGAAATTGCCTTGGGTGTCTCCCTTGCTATCTGGACAGTGGTTTTGTTGGTTACCATTCCATTGTATCTTGTTAATCAGACAGTGTATATTTCAAATCTTAACATCACTACCTGCCATGATGTGTTGCCTGAAAATGTTTTGGCTCATGATATGTTCAATTATTTCCTCTCACTTGCAGTTGGACTCTTCTTAATCCCAGCTCTCCTCACTGCTGTTGCTTACATACTAATGATTAAGACTCTGAATGCTTCCATCTCAGATGTAAGCACTGGGAAGAAACGAAAAAGAGCAATCAAGCTCATCATTGCTGTCCTGTCCATGTATCTCATCTGTTTTACACCTAGCAATGTGCTGCTTGTTGTGCATTATTTGCTCCTCAAAACCTCCAGCCAGAGCTATTTGTATATGTCATACATAACCACACTGTGTCTTTCTACGTTGAACAGTTGTATTGATCCATTCATCTATTACTATATTTCAAAAGACTTCAGAGACAACCTTAAAAACGCTCTTCTTTGCCGAAGTGTGCGAACTACACGGAGGATGCAAGTGTCTCTCACATCAAGCAGATACCCCAAGAAATCAAGTTCTTACTCTACAAACTCAAATGGGACCACTAAGTCAACCTACTGAGTTTAATCCTGGAAAAGTGAACTTTTACTGCTACAACTGAAAGGGCATAAGTGACAAGAAAGTTATTTTGTACTAGAGAGTCTGCAGAAACACCTCTGCTTTTTGATTATCCTGAAGCCTGGATTTTGGAACTGGCACCTGCATACTCTGTGTAGAAATTGTAAGCACGTAACTCTTCCTACTAGGTTGGAAAAAAAAAATCATAACATTTCAGAAGCTCTGCAAAAATACAGCTAACCTGGAAGTGAGTTGTGGTTGAAGACATTTTTGTTGGGTATCTAAGTAGCAAAACATCACTAGAATGTTATGTGGTCCTGCTAGTATATTTAATTAACAGAGAAATCTGTTTTATTTGGCTTTCACTGTAATGTATTAAAACCACTGAACGGATTGTGTATATAGGACCTTGCTCTGTGTACCTGCTTACAGTGGATGTTATCTGAAACCCTAGAGAGAAGGAGAGGAGAATCCATATCACCATCTTGGTGTAGACTTCTTATTAACTGTAGTATATTGTAATTTTATATTGTTTTCCAAGTTGCCATGCTCTAAATACTAAAATGGCAGAAGCCTGTGAGGCTATCCTCTTGAGTTGACAAGCTGAACTTGTTATCAGCTAGCACTGACGCAAAATGTTAGTTGAGATTATACACTGTTACTTAACGCTTGCCTGTATGTAATCTTAAATGGGGATCTTTAACAAAGTTTTGATGCACAGCTATTTGATTATTATATAATGTGCCTTGTATTTTTTAAGATATCTAAATAAGATTTTTCTTTTTTATAACATATTTGAGTTGAGTGCTTTCTTTTATGCTTTTACATACTCTTTAAAATGCTGTGTAGATTATTCCTAAAAGTGAATTAGAAAACTGGCAGATGTAGCTGTAACATCTCAATGGGTTAAGTAAAATTTACTAACGATGCATTTCATTATAGCAAAGGGTTCCCTTATCTTACTAGCAGATAACTAAAACCAAATGGTTCAGCACTCTGGGGGAATAATGAGATGCAAAAAAATGCATGAACAAGATGGCAGATTTCAGCCGCAGTGGATTCCTAAAATATCTTAAGACCTCTTCCCTCACAAGGAATGTTTGTGACCACTGGGGAGTGTGGAATCACGTTTACTTTTAATCTGAGAAGCTGGTAAGTATGTGTTTGGTGGTAGGATTTAAATGCTTTTTTTTCCCCAAGTTTTGCAAGTCTTGGTATGTTTCACTAAGTTGCACGTTGAACTCACATCCTAGTGACCTGTCTGAGGCTTAGGCATAGCTGGGTCCCTACAGACACAAGTAAATGGAAAGCCCTCTGTCCAAAAAATACTTAGAGGGAGCTAATACGTAGATAGGAAACACTCACCATGTCAAATAGGGACAGTGAGGTTGCGAGTAGCTTGGACTGTAGCAAGAATTTGAGTAGCCTTGTAAAGTTTACAGGCTGGAAATATTTATGTAATAATGTTTTTTTTTTCCTGTGTGCTAGTCTGTTCCTTCCATTTTTTTGTTCTTTGGTTTCCACGTTCTCCCCGTACTTTGTTAACAAGATTGATTTTTTTTTTCCCCCCCATGCTTTGTAAAGAAAAAGAGGTTTGTTTAATGTGTTCAATCTCTCATGTCAATGATTAATTAAGCTCTAGCTCTCCTTTTATCTGCTGCAGTCTTGTCTACTAACTCTTAGAAGATGTTAAGTAGGATGTTTTGCAGTGGTATTTTGGAAATCCAAGCTAAAATAGCAACTTATATTAATGAAGGACTCGTTGATGAGCAGAGTTTACAGCTCTTTAGATGACATGAAACACAAGTGCTTCTCAGGCATAAACAGTTTGGTCTTCCTGTTCCCTGACAAAAATGTAAAGAAATATCTACATATTTGTTACTGAACTGAAGATCTGATGCAGCAACCTTAGAGGCCGTAGCTCATTGGAAGAATATGGGAAGGATGTATGTGCACCATCTTCACAAACTGCTCCCTTAATTTTTCCCTTAGCCTGTGTGCAATAGACAGAATAGGCAAATGCGCTTTATCTTGCCAAACAGCCTAGTCACAGAATCATAGAATCATTAAGGTTGGAAAAGACCTCAAGTCCAACCATCAACCCAACACTACCATGACCACTGAATCATGTCCTGAAGTGCCACTTCTACACGTTTTTTTAATACCTCCAGAGATGATGACTCTACTACTTCCCTGGACAGCATGTTTTAATGCTTCATCACTCAGTGAACGAATTTTTCCTAATATCCAATCTAAACCTTGCCTGGTGCAACTTGAGGCCATTTCCTCTTGGTCTATCGCTTGTTACTGTGGAGAAGAGACCAGCCCCCACCTCACTACAACCTCCTTTCAGGTAGTTGTGGAGAGTGATAAAGTCTCCCCTCAGCCTCCTTTTCTCCAGGCTAAACAACCCCAGTGCCCTCAGCTGCTCCTCAGAACACTTGTTCTCCAGGCTTTTTGACAGCTTTGTTGCTCTTCTCTGAACTGTCTCCAGTACCTCAATGTCCTTCTTATACTGTGCTGCCCAAAACTGAACGTGTTCATCAAGCTGTGGCTTCACCAGTTCCAAGTACAGAAGCATGTTCACTTCCCCAGTGTGCTTCCTGCTCTACATACTGTAGTGAGTAACATGAAGGAGGACATCCAGTTCATCTGATTACAGCACTGCCTGTGTTCTGCTAAGAGTCCAAGGGTTACAGGTTGTATGTTGTAAAGATGATGAATTATCTGTGTCTGTAGAATATCACGAAGGTATCACTCATGATTCATGGTGACTAGTAAATTGCTCAAAAATAATATGCTCAATATAGCCAGTCTTTTGGGGTACAAGATTTATTTCTTGTCATTATTTAATCAGAAGTATACCAAATAATGCTTGGATCTACATTCTTTCTCTTTGTTTTTCCTGACGGGATCAGACTTGCAGACTATTGGACAATCAGACACCTCTACTACGGCTCATGTGAAGGGGAGTGGTGATCCTCTTGGCTGCTTCTCCCTTCTAGACTTTTTCTTCTGTGGATTGACAGAGCAGTTTACAAGGAAGAATCTTAGTTGCAGCAAGCGTGGAAGTCTGCCAAGGGCAAGCATAAGTTACTGCAGTGTTGTTGGAAGCTTTCTGAGAAAAAGTTTTAATAGAATGGTTTATTTTAAAAGGAGATTGTCCAGTGCATGGCAAACTTTGGAGAGTACTATTCAAGGAGCCTACAGTCATCAAACTATGCTCACTGTCATCTGAAAAGATCTAAGTCTCATTTTTTATAATAGAGGCTGCTCATGTCCTTCTAGCTTTTCTTTTGCTGTTTTAGTGATACCGTCTGGGTTTGTGCCTTTGAGGGGTAAGAAGGAGCATTTTCCTCTGAATCACAGAATCACAGAGAATCACAGAATGTTAGGGGTTGGAAGGGACCTCTGAAGATCATCTAGTCCAACCTTCATCCCAGCATACCTAACCACTACACTATAGCCTCAAGTGCTAGATCTACTTTTCTTTTAAACACCTCCAGGGTTAGTGACTCCACCACGTCCCTGGGCAGCCTGATCCAGTGCCCCACCACTCGTTCAGTAAAGAACTTCCTCTGAATATCCAATCTAAACTTACCCTGATGCAACTTGAGGCCATTTCCCCTTGTCCTGTCATTAGTAATTAGAGAGAAGAGACCAGCACCAGCCTCGCTACAGCCTCCTTCTAGGTAACTGTAGAGGGCAATAAGGTCTCCTCTCAGCC